CATAGATTTGATTCTAGTCACTGTTTTCAAAAAGATCCCAGTATGACTTTAGCCTTTTAGCACTGGCTGTTTAAATCATATCATAGTCCACATTGGTAAGGAGTTATGTTTAAGAACTCTGTTCAGAGGCTGCTCTCCTGCAAGCATGGGTCAAAGTTTCTACTTGGCATCAAACATTCCCAGCTAGTCTTGTTTAAGAAAGAGAGAAATAGAATATTCACAGTTCCTTTCCTCCTTGTAAAATAATTCTGGAGTTGTTACACATTTAGTGGGAACATCTGGATCCATGGATAAAAGAACACAGCTGTCTTATATGATTTATGATTCCATTTTCCTGTCTTTACCCGGGGCCAATTTCAGTCTTTTTTTACTCTTACCCCCCATCCTTTAACTCATATAACTGTCATTCTTAAAGTATTTTAAGATGGTTCTCACTTTCTGACTGTCCCAATAAATCCACCTTGAATTTCTTATGCTTGTTACTGCAGTGTTGGTTCAACTGACAGATATATTAATCTTTGAACAGACACATTCTAAGCAGAGTTTTTTAACAAAAACATCAAAAGAATGAGGGTTAAAATGGAATAAAAATTTTACTTTTTAATATTAAGATTTTGCACTGTAATTTGCTTCATTCTTCTTGCTCCTGTTAATTTCGCTGAGTAATGTCAAAAAGAAAAACCTTATTTTATCCTATTGACAATTATTCTCTTAATGAGTCATATTTACAGTTGGACTTGATGCTCTCAAAGGTCTTTTCCAATCCAAATAATACTAGTAAATGATTTTATGACAATACTTAGGTAAGTAATATGAAAAGTTACTTCTGTTATCAGTTTCATTTTTTTCTTTATAAAACCTAAACTAATTGCATTCTCGTTGAAAATTATTTACCATGGCTTCTTTAGCATATTACTAGCAGAATGTGAAAAAAGTGTTTCAGAATGCAATTTTCTGACTCTTTTTTTGTCTCAGGTACATTAAAATTTGTGCTAATTTAATACTATGACTTCTGCCTATGTATTTTTTATAAAATAAACACAGCAGCAATCCTGTTGTGGTAAAACACAACCTGGAGCACAGTTTCCTTATCTGAGGACATTAAAAGGCACTTCAAAATCATCAGAATGCTGTTTATATTAGACGTTACATCAGTGTAACTATATAGTGCCTGTGTATAATACTGGGACAAAAAAAAAAAAAAAAGATGTCTGATCTTAAGATCAGACATTGATAATAGGATAAAGATGGCTTAAGTAGCTTCAAGTCTTTGAGCCATGGGCTTAAATCTAGACTGCTGAAAGGTATTGTAAGTTACAACAGCCTCCTCCTCTGAGTTATTTAGCATCAAGAAACCTGTACAGAATCATGCCTGTGAGGACAGTGATGCATTTAAATTCACCAAGACTTTTCCATTATTTACAACATGCACAAGGAGAAATGTGTTATGCCCAGAATTAATTTCTGCTCACATTATTTTGTAGGAATACAATAACCCATTTAAGTAAATTATACTATTCTGATGTGCAGCTAGGGAAAAACTGAATCCAGAAGTGCTTGTTCCAAAAGCAAGCAAGCTTGGTTATCTTTCAAAGACATGTAGTTATGAAAGTATCTATAGAAATTTATTGAGTTTTACTATGAGTATTTATTTCTAAATCACTATGCCAGTACATCAGAATTACACAGTCTATGCTTCAGAGGAAAAATAAATATTGAATCAAACAAAAATTACATACAATTCTAAAAATACTCCAGCAAATGTTCTTTTACTGATAGAAAATCTTGTACTGGTTCAGATTTCATTAATTTAATACAGACCTAAAAATTATAACTATTTGTATAAGTACTTCTATAAGAAAATTGTTTTTTCTTACTAGATTTGAATACTGTTTCTAATAAGTCAACTGTTAAATTTCTATGATTTCACTCAAACCATGAGTTGGTTTCTCATGGGAATTTTCTGCTTTGTAATAACTGGAAAAAAATCAGTTTTCGTATTTTTATGGTAGATGAGAGGAAACTACTTCTTCCTATTTTCATGTTCAAGGAATAGGACTTAATTTTGCTTGTATTGTTATCTCCATATGGAAAAATACTTCCTTGAACTTTCTACCTAAAACCTCTTGATTTCTTAAGACTCTTTAAATTCCAAAGGTAATTTAATGATCTTAAAAGACAGCAAAGAGCAAATTGTATTTTTTCTCAAACTAAGTGCCTGGAATTTTTTTATTCACAAAGACCTAAATGTATACCTTGTAATGAAAACCTGCAAAAAGCTTCAGAGTTCAAACAGGAAAGTTCATTCTCAACAGCTCTATACAAAAAAAAATACTTGGCCAATATAATCTGTTTAACAGACATTAAAAAACTACTACCAGATTTTAGTTATTGGTAACTACTCTTCACCAGAACTGAAGCCTGTGGAGATGCTTAAGGTGTTATACCACCTCAGCTTTTAGTGTATATCTGTTTTCTTTACTTCCTGCATTGTCAAGCTTTTAATGAGAGGCTTAAATCAGCATGAGAATTCAAAACCTGTATTGACAAACAAAGATCTTTGAAACAAAAAGGTAATTTTGCTTAACAAAGATCCTGCACTTTAACACAGGGGAAAAAGATTGTCAGAGGCAACTTGTCAACTTACCAGCACTGACTGTAAGCATACCAAGAATACTTTATAATTAATTGGTCAACCAGATCACAAGTGTTTGGGTTCCTGTACTGATTAAGATTATCTATATCCTGCTATTTTTTATAATATCAGTCTGTTTCATTTTTATTCTGAAATTATTGACTGAATAGCCCAACTCTGATAATTAGTGTTGATTTTGATACCTTTACAATTGCTTAAAGGGGAGGAGTCAAAATGAAGATGGAAAAATAAAGGAGTGTAATGGTGTTTCTGTTATAGTTAAGCTTTATGCAGGCAATACTGTTCATAATAAGCAACAGCCTGTTTAGAAACTTAGCAGATAGTCAAATATGGCCTGTTAAGTGTGAATTTTTTTTTTTTCATGTGTGGAAGCTTCATTTAAATTTATGCTCATTTTATCAGGAAGAAATTAATGCATGTTTTTCTTCCCCACCAAAGAAAATAAGTGGTTTACTACTGAGAAAGGGATACCTTAAAGAGAGGAGTATCTATGGGATGTAATATGGGAAAGGGCTTCCCCTGCTTGCAAAGGGGCAGAGAAGTAATGTGCAAACTGTTTCAGGTAAATCAAAAATGTACTTCTTTCTGTATGCTACCAAACCCTTCATAATTCACTACTCAGAAAGCTTCACCAACAGGTAAATCAACATTTTATGAGTTATTATATACTTATTAAATAATTAATTTAATTAAATAATTAATTTAATTATTTTTAATTCTATCTCCTTCACAAGTTTTCTATTTAATTATGATGGGAATGGGAAGTAATAAAACACCAGCAGAAACATTACAAATACTGTGGAGGCTCTGTCAGAGGGTACCAATAATGCCAGTAACAAATACAGGTCAGCAGGATACTTGCCGCATTCCAAAAGGTTTATACACAAGACTTGCACTGTTATGACTATATCAAAAGATTTATGTAGTGCAATTTCTTAAGTGTGGTTTTGATTACTGGCTCACTGATGTGAAATTGTGTTCACTTGTAGTTTATTTCTTCTTGTCCGAGAAATAGAACTGATATAAATAAGTGCATAATTGCATGTATCTCAGTATAACGGGAAAAAAATAACCAAGCCAAGAGCGTTTTACCAGTTAAAAAAACTATGTTCAGACCAGACTTCAGCTTCCAACAGCAACAGTTTTCACACATAAAGAAAACAGTATTTATTAAGAATGCAGTATTTTATTTCTACTCTGACCAGAACTCAGTACACAGTAGGCAGTGTACTAGAGTATTTTAATTTTTTTCTTTTGCTGCTCAGACTTCTGTTTCTATAGCTTAGCTGTGTGTAAAAGAGAACATTGATAATTCTCTCAAGCTGGCAAAACAGGACACAATTTTTATTCTCCTTACTGCTGTTAGTACAGTGGGTTGGTGGCTTCTGGGAAGAGCACAGTCCTCAAAAACATTTTAGAAGATCTGTGGAGAGGACCCTCCCCTCTTGCTGCTCCCAGGGAAGAACAGCACTCGTCTTAGATGGAGAAACAAAAGAGTGAAGCATTTTCAGAGAACTCCTATGAATATTGTTTTATAAACACATGTTCTGGAGATTGGCTAGTAATGAGGAAATTATTTCCTTCAAAGTCTATCACTTATTTGAATAATAGACCTTTGTGCATATATTAATATGGATTTGAATTGTTGTTGATAAGATTAAGAACCCAAGACACATTTTGCTGGTCTTTATAGCAGGGTTTGACTAACCTTCCTACTGCTATTGTTCTGCCTTACATCCTTTAGGTGATTCCTACTAGCAGTCAGCGCACAGAATGAGTCCGTCAGGAAAAAGTAAATGAGCTGCTGAATTCCTTTACATGTTATATGTGTGCTAAATTTTGGACATATAGCAAAGGGTAAATTACTTTCTTGTAGTCACAAATATATTTTTGTTTCTGTGAATACCTTAATGTGTTTCTTCTTAAACAGATACATGCATTGTATCTGTTGAGAAGGAAAGATATGAGAGTGTGTTATGAAGTGTTTATAGGCATACCTAATAATAGCATTGAGATAATATATATTGATTTAATTCTTCATTGATTCATTTCAAAAACCGTCATATTTTACTAGAGGCACTTTACTTTCGCTGTTCTTTTATGCAAGGCAAACTTTGAGATACATATTCAACTGATTACTTTTGCTGACACTGAGACAGACAGAAAGAGAAAAGCTAAAAACACTGGGATTTTTTTCCCCTTCTTAAAACATCTGTTTTGACACATCTTTCTTTCTTTCTTTCTTTCTTTCTTTCTTTCTTTCTTTCTTTCTTTCTTTCTTTCTTTCTTTCTTTCTTTCTTTCTTTCTTTCAAGTTCTTTCTTTCTTTCTTTCTTTCTTTCTTTCTTTCTTTCTTTCTTTCTTTCTTTCTTTCTTTCAAGTTTTGGGATTGTTTTGGTTTAGATCCCCTGCAGAATGAAAACAAATGCCATACACTGAGAGTTTTCATGCACTGAATGATTATTCTCCAGACAATTACAGCTATGGTGTGAGTGTGCCATGTGTAAATAAATCACAAAAGGAATGAGATATTACTTCAAATACCTTCACCTATGACATAACTAAATAAAAAGTGAAAAAACACACATTGTAAAAATTAAGAAACTGGATGAGGAGACCCACATTTGACATGAAAAGGAGAATGATACAAACAACTCCCAAACTCCAGGTGCAAGGAATCAAACCAATGTTGTCTTGCATTCCAGTCACATCTTTTATTGCACATAAAGAATAAAAGACATGTCTCCCTAACACTTTGCAACAAGTGCCTGCTCATTACTTATTCCTATGGTATTCAATGGAGGGTGATAATGATCATGATGACCTAACTTGGTTTTACATGTGGGATTATCTACTCTTTTCAACAACACCTAGACATTGGATTCAGAATATGCAGTAGCATTGGCAGTATTTTGTTCTGCACTAAGGGATTTTTGAGGTAACACAAGACAGTGCTCTGGCTGTTTCTTTCCATGGCAGAAGAACATTCAGTGGGGTACAAATGGGGGCTGGAGTTCAGGGTTTTATTTCAGTCTCTGAGGCTGGCAGAGGCAACAAGACTCTATGGTCACTGAGGTTTCTGTCAGCTGCCTCTGTTGTCTGAGAGAAAGCCAGGCTTGGTACAATTTGTGCAAAGAACATAGACCAGTTGCAGAGACAAGTGTCATTTGAATTGCCATGGGCTGTCACAGGCACTTCCAAAGTCATTATCCACTTGACCTTGGCTACCACTTAAGAAGTGTGTGGGCCTTTGATAAGTCTTCAGTGATGTCATTCAACAATAATTTTAAGGTGGCAGCTTCTGACCATTAACCATTCAGAAGGCACTGCTGTGTAATATTAACAGAATCATCTGCTTCAGTCAGCTGTCCACGATCTGTGAAAGAAAAAAGTATTTGAAAAGTCAATTCAAAGTAATGACTCCTTTGATTTTTTTCTATTGTGGTAACAAAATTTCTTTAAAAGTTGGAGCAAAGAAGCATTGGGAGTTGGGCTTGATAATCATTATGGGTCCCTTCCAACTGACATATTCTATGATTCTATGAAGTATCTATGTGTTATAGGGTTAACACAAAATGCCCATTTGCAAAGGGAGGACAAAAATATTTCTTTTGTTCTCCTTATTTTGATGAAGTTTAGCTACAGCCTGGTCATATAACTTGTGGTCACACAAACACTGAAGTGCAGAAATTCAGATCAAAGAGCTTGGTGCAAATATTAATTAATTTTGGTGAGTTGGGTATGTTCCTGATGAGTTTTTTGTAAAAAAAGATACCAAATGCCTTCTGTGCCCTCATTGCTTTTTTATTTTTAATAATTTTTCCCCTCCAAGGCTCAAATAGTACACAATATTACAAAATAGGTATAAATTACTTTAAAGTGGCAAAATGTAGGTGTGGTCACATAATCCTGAAACACTTTATCAATTTAGAACCTGTACGGACCATTGAAAGATCCACTTTTTCCTGCTGCAACTGTTAAAACAAAAGAATGACAAGTTGAAAGAATACGCAAATAAAGAAACAAAGTTTTGGGTGGACAAGATAAATTAATACTGTTTATATTTCACCTCACTGCTTTGGTAAGAGTAAAGGAGTTTTAAGAGAGGTATAATTATAACTTACATATTCTTCCAGGATTTTTGGGGTATGTTTTTTTCAAAGTCTAATATAGATATTTTAAAAACTTGAGTTCTAATCCAAACCAGTGGCTTGGAAGCTGGTGTTTGAAATGCTTGAAGCCGTCAGCTGCATCAGTCCCCAATCAACACAGGTTCTCATCTAACTCTCTATATTTTCTATTGTGAAAGGGATAATTTATTTTCCATATACAATACCTTTTTTTTGGCATACACAATCAAATGAAGACATTAACCTCAACGTAAAGGACTCAGTAAACTTGTCTGGATCCTGCTGGACTGTAAATGGAAAACAATAGAATCACATTTTAATATTTATTTATGAAAGCATTCTATGACCCATGATAAACTCAAAGCTCTAGCTGGTGCTAAAGAAGCTCAGTAGAAATAAAGGAAGAAAAAATTCCAGAGTCACAATCCAAAGCACTTTACAGAATAATTATATAAGTAATGCCTTGTCTGACAATATTCCTAAAAGAATTGTATCATACAATAAATTGTATGACCAAAATGAAAAAAAAACCTATTGAGGAAATTAAGTTTTTGATCATTGAAACCTTAAAGCCTATCTGCTTCAAATTAGACACAATAAAATCTATTTTACTTATTAAATCCTTTCATAAAATGTTTAATAGGTGTAAAGACTTTAGGGTGCAACCAACACTAATTAATAATTATAACTGGCACAGTTAAATAAGCAGACATTTTAGACATTTTCCATGTAAAATTGTAAGCACACTGTTTTAGCACTGTAACAAATGCAGTTCAAAAACCTTTGCAGGTTTGTAAAGAGGTTTTGGTTTGTTTCTTTTCTCTTTTCCAGAGTACAAGCACAGTGGTATTATTCCATTAATTCAACCAAAAAATAGTTTGCCTTCTAGACTCACAGAGACAATCATCTGCCTTTGCCTATGAGGGACTCATTTCCAGGTATATTTTTTTTCTCTCTGGTAATACAGAACATATGGAAAAAATAAAGGTTGTTCAGAGGTTCAGTAATTTCCCCTAAACCCCATATTTCTGTACTCACATTAGCAGAGGTATATTTTAGAGGAGAGGGTAAAGAAGAGATGAAAACATAAGAGCAGTTCCACAGAACATCTGCAAAAATTTTTGCAACAGAACTTTCAAAATATACAAATTAAACATTATGGAGAAGATTTCTGAAACTTAATCATTATTTAGAACTTCAATCTGGTAAAGTCAAAGGACTCCATAAATGTTGAAAATTATGAAGGAAAACTGGAAATTTTACTGGGGATTGTAGTTTAGCTGATGGCAGTCAGTCAGCTCAGTTGAAGTATCATCTGCTTTTACTTTTAAGATCTATCATAACAGATCGATAGGTGAGGTCTCTATAGTATCTTTTAAAGCGAAATTCAAGAGCAAAAATGGTTAAGTGGTTTTTGTAATATGAAAGCAAGAAAAGTTATTGTATCATACATGAACCACACCTTGGATTTATAGTTAAATTGTGCATTTGTTACCAAAGCCAAACCCTTTTAAAAACAAAGCACACTATCAGGAAGGTATTGTTTGCTTACCCTGTGCAGTATGAGAAACTGCATGGTCTGAAGGTAAAGAATAAAGGATTTAAAATTTCTACCTCCCAGTGAATTTCAGGGCTTCATAACACCTTTATCCAATTGTGAATAAAACATTCTGAAAAAAGAGAGTAAAAACAGAAGATAAAAGTCAACCCAAAATCATAGCTAAAACATCAAATATTCTTAATTTATACATGTTTTAAGCATCATTCTCTTATATATAACTCAAAGTTACCTCATGCTTTCCATGCTTCTTTGAAGTTAATTTAATTCATATAATTAAAATAATTTTGGTAATAAAAAAATCTTATCAGTTGAGAATTTTTGAAGTAATAATTACATACTTCTGAGATTTATATTTTTCAATATCCAATAACCAAAGGCTATGTAAATTGGCTGCAGTGGCTTTCAATGAAGTAGAATCTTGACTGCAAGAAATGTAAAATATCAACCAAAACTAAGAAAGTTTTCTCAGTAGAATCTGTCATTATTATTAAACTCTTTCTCCTTTCAAGTCACTATGCAGGTTCTAGGAACTAATGAAGGTACTAGACAGTGCACAGTCTATCATCAGTAGCCAGATTTTATTTAATAGCTTCTTTCCAGTTGGCTAAGTGGGGGACAGATGGCAGGTAATATGTAATTTCTGTGCAGTATCATAAGAGCTAGTCACTTAACATGGGATTTTAAAAATCTCTTCTATTTGAAAAATATAAGAATTGCATATTAACCAAAGGAACTGCTGCCATTGTATAGAAATCAACAGTATATTTTCTATTTCTCCAGGGCACTGCTTTACTCTTCACTAATCCAAATAGAATTTGTGTAGCAAAAGGCCACAAATATAATCTCTTAGGTGTGACCTTGAAGAAGTACCTCAGTTAAATCAATTTGGTATTTATTCAGCCCTGACATTCTTGTAACATCATTTGTTATGTGAGCCTTTCCGACTTCTCAGCCAACTTAATCCATTTCATTCTAATGCTTTTCTCCTGTCCTTATTTCCATACATCTTCATTACCAGCACACAAGCTGCTGCTGAAGGGTTAAGATATTTATTAAATGTAAACTCAAACAAATGTTAACATGGAGCAGCTACTGAAAGTACACAGATAAAAGGCCATTTGCTGGCTTAATTAAAATTAATCAGAAATAATGGACTGTCTTGAAGAGGAATAATATAAACCCATAAGACTAATCTCATAAGCTCAATTTAAAAAATAATATGAGACTCCTAGTCTCATTGATAAAATAAAATATTTAGGAAGAGAGGAAGGTTTAGAAGAGATCAGAATAAGTTCTCTTACATGATAAAATTCATAACTTTTTGATTCAAAGACCTATTGTAATGTTTTAAAACAATTCATTATTAAGAGTTTGCTTCTGACCTTGATAACAGCTAGGCTTTTGTAATGTGATCTTAATAGGCTATTAATACCAGGACAAGATTAAGGGATTTGCTTTATCCTTCAGTAGTGCATGTAGCTGATTCGAAGATGAATGGAAAGTATCTATTTGTATTGATCACCCCAGGACATGTTCTGTGGGATTCATGCCCATCTTTCCATATACTATTTGGGAAAAACTAGCTGCCTAAGAAAGACTGACAATATTTAGCTGGCCAAATCCTTTGTCAACTCGTTCTCATAAATATCTGGTTTTCATTTTGTGACTGTTCTGGAATGTAATGTCCCTTTCCCACTCTCTTTTCTACCTCAGTTTTCAAATAGCTATATTAAAAGAAATGAGGAAGAAAGCCCAAAGCAAACCATGTGTTAGCTAGAATATTTCAGCCCTAGTCTATTTTGCCTTTGTTAAAGTATTGAGTCTTATGTACTGAGTGCAACATAGATGCTTTGAGAGATTGTTAGCAAGAAAAGTAGAGTTGCACTTCTTGCAAAACACACTCAGTTCTTAGGATTTTTACATCAGTGTAATTCAGAATATAAATCCTAAGTAACTAGATTGCATTTACTTCATTATATGGCTGTGCAAACACATAATTTCAGAATTAAAATAGTCCTAGTTCATTTTACCTTACTTTGCCTTGGAAGTAGATTATGATAAATCAGATTTAGGTCCCTTTAATGTGTAGGGAGGGTATTCACATAATTGTTTATGGGGTTTAACAAATACAATTTAAATCTACATTTTTAGACCATGCAGTTAATTTCCCTCTGAGTCCTTATGTAGACAGACCCTTCTGCTTCTTCCAAGGCTGTTCTTTTAAAGTTGTGTCTGTTGTACGCCTTTAGGATTGGGCAGAGTTCACTGTGTTTCTGACAGGCTATTTTGCAAACTATCTCTTCCTGTTTTCTCTTTTGTATCATGCAACAGATAACTGATATAAGAACAATATCTCTCTTCCTGCTGGATTATTTGTTCCTTTAGGAAGCCTAATTTTCACTAGGACATTTGAAGGGAACTGTTAGAACCCTTAGGGTATTACAGGCTGTCAGAAGGTGTTCTTTTAAATTAAGATGTTGAAACTGTTTAAGATTGTCCAAAAGAAAGACCATTGCTGATATTGTGGCTTTGTAATTGATGCTGCATTTGCTGACAGCAGTCATGCTAATTTGGGTACACTGTGCTTGTGTCATAAACACAGCTCAGCTCAAGGATGTACTGGCCAAAACACAACCTCTTTAACACAGAACATAGGCAAGTGTCTCCCATACCATCACGTTCACCCACGATATCGTAGGCATTAAAGTCAGCTTAGTTGTTTGTTAGCACTGTATCTAGTAGCAGACTGTTATTCTGATTGACAGAGACCTCCTAATATCCTGTCTACAGATATTGATGAATAGATAATGTGCTTTTATGTTGTTCTTTGAATACTATGCATCTCTTTAACCCAGGATCTTTCATAGGGAATCATCCTTGATTAACCTACATTTCTCTGCACTAAGCCAGAATCATAAACTTCCCCTGAGATCATGATTGCAGTAGCCATTCTAAGCATCTCTTCAATTTTTAATTCTTTTTTATTTTTCTATTAACTAAAAAATTATATTTTTGATTGGATACTTTAAAAAAATTTTGTCTACCTTTTCTCTACTTATACACAGCATCTGGCTAGCTCCAGGATCACAGATTTTTTAGATTTTGAGAGGCATAAACCACTTCATAAAAGAAGCTAAATCTAATTTTATCTTGCATTTAGTAGGTCTGTGATGGCTTGGTGCTCAATCTAGACAAAAGGATAAAAGAAATTAGAAACTTCTTATATTGCTAACTGCAAAGTTATTGGTTACACTCTACCCTAATTTTTTTCTAAATTCAAGTCAGGCATGGAACTATTTCTAAACATTTGTATTGAGGTGCAAGGTGTAATATATAAAGTCAGTCTAACAATGAAGAAAGGAAAATAATTAGTTAGATCCCTTTTTCCTAGATAGATTTTTGCTTACTGAAAAGTGAGTGTAAATGTCTGGAAAATCAATACAGTGATTTATATAAAGAGGACTTATGAAAATAATTCTCATTAAATACATTTCAAAAGTAGCTATCTAATTAAAAACCTTCTATCTAAAAAAAACTAGTGGTAGGTTTACATTACTATCTCATATTAAGAATAGACACCTGCAATGTCTTCTTATTCTTATTTTAAATAAACACTACAAAACCTTAGTGGTCTAAAGTACATTCTGCGTAAATGTACTGCAAGCCTTATTTAAACCTTTTACATCCATACAATTAATATTTATATGAATAAATATTATTTCTATTACTTATATTAATTATGTTAATCATATTAATGTTATTCATAATCAATATTTGCTGAAGAAAAATTCTGATGCTTTTTCTTGGGACAAAAGTAAAGCAAATAAATAGGTAATATACAAAAGTCAATGTATGTTTATAGATTGGACTTCAATGGTGCATTGATAAAGAAGATTAACTTATCCTCCATAACACAGTGTAAAAAACTGCAGAGCGCGCTTTGGGAGAATGTAAAGTTTTATAAAAGACACAAAATCAAGACAACACAAGAAAGTCAAATATTTGGTGAGCTGTCACAAAAAGACTGAGCCTAATATGGAAATATTAATGTACCCAAAATATAAACAAGACTCAGATTATAAAACTAACTAACTGAAAAAATCCCTCCTACATACCAAAGGTGGTGATACCTAAGACAGGTACTGAATGAAAATCTGAACCTTTCAGCTGCAGAAGTTGAACTCCTTTTCAACAGTGCAGAAAGAAGTATATGTCCAGTACTGAATATCCTAGGATGCCATTACAATCTAATATCTCTTGCATTGCCTAACAGTAATGTTGTGAATTTATGAGTATTTATTCTTACTCTGACTTGGTTTTGAACTGTTCTGGTGTCCACTAATAAGAAAACCTTACTTTCTTCTCTGAAACACAACACACATTATTCTTGTCTACACCTTCTGAATGTTCTTGTTCTTAAATAGGTATTGCTAATCTCTGCACATATCTTAAAATTGTTTATAAAGCAAACCTTTTAATTTTACTATTCACAGTGTGTTCCAAACTCTACATTTTCAGAAAAGTTTTGGGTTTCATTTAGGTTTTTTCAGAGATCAGTAAAACTTCTTAATTTGTTGTATATACTAAGTATGACACCTCATTGTTTCTGCAGGAAAAGTAGTTTTCCCAAAAATGATAGTACTTTTCTATTGGACCTTTCATAAGAAGAACATTTCAATGCCTCAGAACTGTAAGCTGTACATTTTTGTGTGTGTGGCTGGCATTCTTGCTAAAGTGGCAGCTTCTCGCTTGGTAATGCTTTGTTGGAATATGCAAGACAGAAGAGCTGCATGAAATAGCATGATGTAGAGGATAATAAAGTTGTGTAGAATTTCAGCACCTTTGAGAGCCACAAACCTACAGCAATCTTGCACCTGGAGAAGTTGTCTCAGGAGATCCATTTAATGAAAATGCACTGTAATTGCGAGAACAGGAATTGCTCAGCAAAGCTTTATTGCATCTTTTGGGCTGTCTTAGATTTTAGCTGGAAGATTGCACATGGGAGTCTCTATGCATCTTTCAGAAAGCAAACAGCAAAGTGAAACCAAGGAAAACAGAAGAATGATCTCCAGTAACATAATTTGCAAGTCCAGATAGAATCCATCCAAA